GTGGCTGTTCACCGCCCTGAGTCCTTCGGGAGTAGGGCGGTATATAAATCAAATAAAATGAAAAAATGTGGGGGGGGGGAAGAAGCAATGGATGGAAACTAATCAAGGAGAGAAGCAACTTAGAACTGAGGAGAAATTTCCTGTCAGTGAAAACAATTAACCAGTGGAATAGCCTGCCTCCAGGTTGTGGGTGCTCCATCACTGGAGGTTTTTAAAAGAAATTGGACAGCCATTTGTCCAGAGTGGTATAGGGTCTCCAAGGTCCTTTCCAATTCTGTTTTTCTGGTGGAAGAGGTGACACAGATTCATGTTCTTCAAGTTACATGGCAAATGTGATCATTGTGTTATTATCATGTTGTTCATAAAATGATGCATGAATCAGTTTCCAGAGAATAATATGGTTTATGCTTCCCTCCCCCACTCTTCCTTCCATAAAGCACATTTGATTTTCCGCATATTCCCCTCTCCTTTGCAGCTTAAACTCTCAACTCCCCAGGAATCCAAATATCTCTTGTAATTTAGGTTTCCATAGGAACCAATAATTTCAGTACTGCCTAATCCTGGTTTGTTCAAAAGGTCAAATGGAAGACCCTGAAAAGAGCAGTAATTATGTTTCTCTGGTTTTGCTTTTCCCATGAATTCTGGATGTGTATAGAAGAAAAAACTTGGCTGTTTGTAAATTCCATCTGTGGTCGCACCAACATTCGGTGCTTCTTGAGGCATTCCAGCTGCTGCAAAAACCAAATTTGGGGATGTTGTGTTGTCAGGAGTTTCGATTATTATGGAAACCAAATTATCACTCCTCACGTCCCTCCCAAATCTTCCACACATATCAGGACCATATTTCCCCATTTTAATTACATGAATTAAAGGTACCAAATATGATTGGTGAATTTTAAATAGTATTATTACCTTAAAACACACAGAAAAAAAGCAACTGGGATATTGATTTCTCAGTGGCTATGTTTACACCATATGTTAAGCCATGATCTCTTTAACCATCTTTTAATGGACTGGCTGGGTGTAGACCATGGGTGTCAAACTTGATCACGTCAGGTGGCATATCGTGAGATATCACAATGATGTTTTTCCTTTGCGGAGCTGCGGTGGGTGTGGCCTATATATGACACATCCAGCCTGCGGGCCGCCAGTTTGATAGGCCTGGACAGTATCTGAGCCAACCAGATTTTAGCCTTCTTTGTTGTGTGAACCAGGCGAACCTGAGATATTTTCATGCAGCTAGATCACTCCTACAAACTACCTCCCCTCCCCATTTATGTTTCTACCTCCTAATCAAGCTAAATTAATTATTTAAAACTGGCAAGCGAGTAAGTATTCTGATTTTAGAAGCACAGAATTTGGCATCTTTCCTGTAAGCACAGGGCTCAGATGAAGATAAATATTTAGCATCAACGGATCATGTTCACGTATTCAAAATCCTATACCTACATATTATGTTGTTGTAACTGAATATTATCCCTCTATGGAGGGTTATTTCTCAAACAATGAATAGTTTTCAATTTTTGAACTGTATTCTAAAAGGGGAGGGGAGGAGAGATAATTTTGGATCACTAGATCTTTGCCTTGATTGGAGTTTTGGGAAATTTTTTAACAGGTTTTACAGATTGAAAAAGTTTGAAATGCTCTGATCTAGGATGCCTGGGGAAACAAAATTGGAGAAAAACATTTTCCAGCTCCTAGCCAAACTATAATACTGCAGGGATAAGACAAACAATGCCTTGAACAGCTAGCCAATGTATAATAAAGTTGTTTTAATAATAAAGGTTAGCCCACTCTACACTTCAGTTCTATAGGTCATTACTAACATTATCTTCTCTTGTCATTATTTGAAGGGCAGAGCAATTACTTCAGGGGTTGTTACGCATAGAAAACAGAGTTGCTTTATTATACACTAGCTTTTCTTAAGCTAGACAGAATGCAGAAATTGGAATGGGACAACTCGCTGTGGTGATTTTCCACAGCCATCTCACCACAACCAACTCACTGTGGCCATTTTGCCACAGCCAATCCACCATGGCCATCTCACCACAGCCCTCTTGATGTGGAACAACTCACTGTGGGACAACTCCACGCGGGATAACTCAATGCAATAAATGTTATCTGCCACGGTTTCTTTGACATTATTGCCATTGAAAAAAATGGAAAGAATGTCAAAGAAACATTGGCAGATAATATTTATCGCAGTATCTCGCATTGAATTATCCAGGGCAGGTTGGCTATGGTGAGATGGCTGCCGCAAGATGGTGGGGCGGGTTGGCTGTAGCGAGTTGTCCTAGACCAGTGGTAGGCAAACTTGGCTCTTTCCCACCCTGTGGACTTCAACTCCCAGAATTCCTAAGACAGCCAAACTGTTTTAGGAATTCTGGGAGTTGAAGTTCACAGGGTGGGAAAGAGCCAAGTTTGCCTACCACTGTCCTAGACCCTCCAGAAATGGGGATTTAATTTCCCATAATTCCTCAGACATCATGGCCACAGAAAGAATTCTGGGAATTGAAGTCCACATATTAGAAGGATGCCCAGGTTTGTGGAGATATTGTCTGGTATATCCTTTATATAGAACCCTAGCTGGGCTCATGTATTGTCTGGCAACAAGATGGCATGGCTGGCTGGGGAATTCTGGGAGTTGAAGTCCACCCATCTTAAAGTTTCTGAAGTTGAAGAACTTTGCCTTAGTAACTACCATAAAGAGCCCAATAGTGGTATTCAAACTCCACAACTGAGTGCCTTTGTTAATTAGGGAGCCCTAATTGCTCCAGCAGCCACTCTGAGGGCTCAATTCTAAGAAGTGCCTACAGAAAAAAGGAACATCTGAGTAATATTTCCTTTCTCCAGCCTCCACCTTCAGCCAATAGATATAGACAACATAGCACCTTTGGTCAATATTGATCAAGACTACACCCAGACCGAAACAGGAAAACCAGAGTATGACAAAACTTAAGAGTTGCCACTTCTCCCTGTATTTTGAAGGTTGTGTGGTAGGCAACATTCAACAGGTGAGTGTTTTTGTAATCCTTTGTGCCACCATGCAGCAGTAAAGACGAAGATGGGGAAGACAGGATCTCTGTTCCCTCAAGTTGATCTGGAAATCCAGTTCTGTAACCCCACCAGATCTGTAAAAGCAAGTTGCTAAGATATATTTTGCATGTGTTCAGAAGCTGTTCTCTCAGCTATTAGCAACGTTTGATGACAATGCTTCGTAGTAGCTATAGTCAGTGGGCTGCTGAGAATTTATTAGAATAATAAATCTATTATTAATAATCTATTAAAATAATGAATAGGTAACCATTAGAATCTAAGAGTTGATCATTATGTTTTTAGCGGCAATAGTTAGGGGGAAGAACACAAAATCGTCCATGCTATTTTTGATTGACCAGGCTTCTGACAATAATGAGAATTTGAATGTTTGTCTAAATTGAATGTTTAATGAAGGTAGCCAGTTAGATAAAGTTAGTGTGATAAGAAGACCCAGGCACCTATGGATAATCCTTGACTTACAACCATTCATTTAGTGACCATTCAAAGTTACAATGACACTGAACAAAGTGACTTACAATTGGTCCTCACACTTATGACCATTGCTGCATCTGCATGGTCACTTGCTCAGAATTTGGGCACTTGGCAACTAGTATGTATCTAAGACAGTTGCCACATCCTAGGGTCACATCAGAGGTGGGTTTCAGAAGGTTCTGACCAGTTCTGGAGAACCGGTAGTGGAAATTTTGAGTAGTTCGGAGAACCGGTAGTAAAAATTCTGACTGGCCATGCCCCCATCTATTCTCTGCCTCCCAAGTCCCAGCTGATCGGGAGGAAATGGGGATTTTGCAGTATCCTTCCCCTGCCACGCCCACCAAGCCATGTCACACCCACCAAGCCACACCCACAGAACCGGTAGTAAAAAAAATTGAAACCCACCACTGGATCACATGATTACTATTTGGAACTTTCCCAGTTGGCTTTTGACAAGCAAAATCAATGGGGGAATCTGGATTCACTTAACAACCACATGATACACTTAATTACTGCAGTGATGCACTTAACAACCCTGGCAAAAAGAGGTCATAAAATCAGGTGCAACTCATTTAACAACCACTTTGCTTAAAAACAGAAATTCTGGTCCCAATTGTGCTCATAAATTGAGGATTTCCTGCACGTCACTTCAACACAATTTAGGCAATCATACAATAGGGTGTTATGAAAACTCAAAGAGAAGCCTATGGACTACTGTTCCTCAGCCTTGGCAACTTTAAGATCCCCTAGCTGGGGAATTCTGGGAGTTGAAATCCACAGATCTTAAAATTGCCAAGGTTGGGGAATACTGCTATAGACATACACCCAGTGGTGGGTTCCTCCCGGTTCGGCTGAGCCGGTAGCGGTGACGATATGACATCACCAAACCGGTTCTCTTTGTTCAGGAGCTGGGCCCTCCAGCCCTCCCCCTGCATTATTCTTACCTTTTATTTGGCCCTGTCCCCAATCTATTCGCTGCCTCCCGAGTCCCAACTGATCAGCTAGAAGGAACAAAACTGTTTAAACTCTTGCAGAGGTACTTCAAAGGGCCACCCTACAGCTGATCAGTGTTAAAAGGCAGTGTGTGATAGACTAGATCACTCCAAAAACAAATGGGTAGACTGGTGCCTCCAAAAACAAATGAGTAGACCGGTGCCTCCAAAAACAAATGAGTAGACCGGTGCCTCCAAAAACAAATGAGTAGACCGGTGCCTCCAAAAACAAATGAGTAGACCAGAATACTCCAAGAACAAATGGGTAGACCGGAACAGCTCTGCAAGCAGTTAAAAGCCTGGTAGACCAGTACCTCTGCTAAATCCTAAAGAATTGTCACATGACCATCAAACCACGCCCACAAAATAAGCCACACCCACAGAACCGGTAGTAAAAAAATTTAGAACCCACCCCTGCATACACCCAAATGTTGTTTTCCAAATCTGATTATGTTATTTCTTTTCTCCGCTTTTTCACAGAAATGGGGCTATCAGGCTACTCCAGCAAAGGAATTGATGAAACATCGAGGATCTGGCCACGTCCCAGAAGAACCGAGAATGCCTTTTTACATGGCCCACGGGCGCATGATTCCATCCCCTAGTTACATACCCCTAGGAAGACTTCAAGGGCAACTCTACCATAAACCTCCCAATATAGGCCTACCCAGGACTTGGGGACATCTGCCAAGGCCCCAGTATGGGCATCAGCCACGGTTTTGAACTATCTTTGAAGCTCTGAGTCAAGGAAGGGTGGGGAAGAGATATCGGAGGTTAATCCAGATGCAGCTGGAAGCATTAGAGACAGATATGATTACTTCACTGCAAGGAAGAATGAAAGCTGATTACGGGCTGGAACTCCTGACACATTTTGCTATAGACGTCCTTTTTTTTTTTTTTTTTTTACTAATGACCTTTCCCATGGTATCATTGCAAAATTAGACCCTGAACTTGCTTCCTGTTTATACAGTGACAAATGTTTGTATATCCAATCAAGCAAGCTGAACAATCTTTCTTTAATGGGGTCGGATGAATTAGAAACCAGCATGCATCTCAGAAGCATTATCATGAGCTGTTCAACCATTTTGGGGTGAAGCTGCTGAAACACCCAGAATCAATATTAAGCGTTTGTCGTCGTGTGTCCCCCCCCCCAGTACATGTTGATAAAAATGGAAATTGCATATGCATTCCTGTGTTTGGAATTAAAAGGAGGAAGTTGCTCTCTCTTATCTTAGATTGCAGTTTAGACTCCTTTCTCCTATCAAAGTAAGGAACTGAACTGAAGGCAGGCAGAAAGCAGAATGAGATTTTAAGCTAAGGGATCAGAGTCAGTATATTAAACTTTGCTGGTTTCTGAGGGAATGCATTTGAAGAGGAGGAGTGTTGGAGTGAGTGTTTATTTAATCGCTGGACGCAAATGGAGAAAAAAGAGGGAAAAAACAGTGATTCTGGGAAGCCACTAAATAGAAGAAAAACATATCTTCCATACATATTTCATGGAAGAGAAAGACCATCTGGTGATCTTCTTTAAAGTCCATCAATTTACACTATATTATAGAGCATGGGTGTCAAACTCGTGGTCCCCGGGTCGGATTTGTCACCCACTGGCCACGCCCACCTCTGGTTTAGCGAAGGGAAAAAAAGTTATGATACGTCATGTGACGATGTGGCAACGCGAGTTTGACACCCCTGTTGTAGAGTAAATACTGGGAGCAAAGAAGGACTGTTCCCAGAGTATGGTCAACAAAGTCAAGATGGCAGCCACAACACAACATGGGCAGAGGTTTGATGGCATCTTTGAGTTCACCATCTTGACCTTTTGCAGATCCCCCTGGAGCAAAGCTTTCAGGTTCTCTGAAACTCTCTGGCCCCACTCCCAAATCCCAATCATTGAGTATCTCAGAGATGGATTCCATCATACCATAATTTTCCATCTTCTCTTGATGTGTTTGCAGGGGAAACTTAATTGTACCACAATGCAATGTTCTATGGGAGTGACATGACCTTCCATTTTGAAATCTCAGTTGATGTTATCATCTTAAATTCTAGCCCCCCAAAAATGCTAAGGAAAAACAATAAGATACCAACAGAGCAGTGGTGGAATTCAATTTTTTTTACTTATGGTTCTGTGGGTATGGCTTGGTGGGCATGGCAGGGGAAGGATACTGCAAAATCTCCATTCCCACCCCACTCCAGGGGAAGGATACTGCAAAATCCCCATTCTCTCCCCACTCCAGGGAAAGGATACTGCAAAATCCCCATTCCTTCTCCACTCCAGGGGAAGGATATTGCAAAATCTCCATTCCCACCCCACTCTGGGGCCAGCCAGAGGTAGTATTTGCCGGTTGTCCGAATACTCAAAATTTCCGCTACCAGTTCTCCAGAACCTGTCAGAACCAGCTGAATAGCACCCTTGCTACAGAGATAGTTCTGGAGAGCATCAGACCAAGATACCTGAATACATTTAGCTTCGAGAAGAGATGGTTGTGACTGAGGAGGAATGTGATAATATCTGAAGAAGCTCACAATCTGTTCTCTGCCTCTTCAAAGTGTGGGATGTGTAACCGATAGCCTTCAGTTACAAGAAGGCAAATTCCAATTTAATTGCCAGGAAAACACCCTAACAGGAAGTGAAATACAACAATGAATCCATATTCAAGGAGAAATCTTGATAACCTCTTGTCAGGGACGTTTCAATTTTGGATTTTTACCCTGAACTGCTGCTTGGTTGTCCTTAATGGACTCTCTATAAACCTGAGTTAAAATATAGATCTAGTGATAACAAGATTCAATTTGTTTTTAAGCTCATCTCTGCTTTGCACAACAATGGAGCACTTAAATTCAAATGTATGTTCATCATTTTGCCCTAATGAAAGGTTTGTCTTAGTTATGATATTTTAGATGCTTTTCTTTATGGATCAATAAAACTTCCTTTGCTATTTTGTTCATTGACTCAATGAAGATGGAAAACAAATTCATACATATTTGAATCCAGCTAAAAAGAGAATGTGGGAGAAAAAGGACTAGGTAATTAAATTGGAAGCTTGATAGAAACCTATGATATTTTACATTCTCTTCAAAAAATCTCCAGTGTCAATCTGATTGACTAGTGTTTTAAAATAACTGGAAAATATGCAATGGAGATTCTGAGTGCAAAGAAAGAGAACATGTGATTGTATCACATAGCCATCGATTTATGCTTATTAAGACCCATCCCAAGAGTCTGTAATCCTTGCAGAGAAAGTCCAACGAAGAGGTCCTTTTCTTGTTGGTATTTCTACAACATAGGCCCCAAGCTTCAAGCTACTTTTCTTTCTGCTTAAACCCTGTCTGCCAAGTGCCAAATAATAAAGAATATATTTCTCTAAATGCCTGTATCTTGTACACATGTTTCTAACAGATAGAATCAACCATCTTTTAGATGAAGGAATAGGCTCTGTGCGCATGCTCAGGTCAGGAGTTATTTTGAATACAAGAATTATGCTTGTAGTGTTTCTCTCTCACACACACACACACACATTTCCACTTTAGCAGCCTAGAATGGAATGGAAATTAGACCACTTGGCCATCTACTGAAGATCACTCAGCAATCTTTCATTACATTCTAATTTGTCTTCTATTGGTCCCTAGAAGAAAAGCTGCAATGAATGTAAATGCTTTGCTTTCCATAGGTTTTAAAGCTGGAGACATCAATATGCTTATGGAGATTGTCCTTGACACCACCAGTCACCCAATCTCACCTGCACATATCCATTGATTGATTGATTTACCCACGCCCATAAATCATTAAAAAGGATGCAATGTAACGCAAAAGAAAATATCATTTTTACTACTTTTCTAAGAACCCTGTAGGTGAACCACATGCCAGGTGCCCCTTCTTAAGCAGCACAAAAGAAATGCTAATATTATAAAGGTTTGAATAATTCATGATATATCCTATGCCTCATTCTAATCAAATAGACATTTAGCCTGCTCCGGTCTGAGGAACTAATTTCCGAAGCTCCTTTTAATACAATCTCATTTAGCTATTAACACCAAGCATCAGAGTGTTAGGTTAACATGCATTTTTTTAAAGGCCTTAGAAAAATAGGGATATTGTGCCCTCTATAGGCTGGATTCCATTTTCAGGAGTAACTTCACCTTGTGATTAAATCACCTTCACCTTGGGATTCACTAAATCACCTTCAACATGAGATTAAATCTGAAATCTGAGCGTGATTCTGTTGCCACTTTTTATGATGAACACTTTCCGGGATCTTGCAATATCAGAGTTTTTTCTGGATGTGTCTACTATGGTGAGATAATCAGCACGAATCTTTGTCACCAGCTACAAAAGAGGCAAGGGGGATAAATAATTAGATATTCAAAGCCTCCATAGTAGGAATCCTGTTTTCCTGCTTCACTAGATCTGGTTGAATCATTCATCCATTTAATGAAGAACTGACAGGAATTCCCCAGCCTAAGACTCTTTACATCATATCCTGTGACCAGAAGTTTATTACACTGGTCATGTTCCTTTCTTTGCCATGGTGGTGCCTTTGCCATGATGTGGAACACCACAACCTAAAATTGGGGAGTTTGTCCCACAAATCTGGAAGGGGACAGATTGGCAAAGGCTAATTGAAAGTGATTAAAATGATTTGAACCTACTGTGATCAAATCATTTTAAATAACTTCAACATCTAATTGGGATGTTATCTGAATATCTAACTGGGATCCCATTTGAAATGGGAATACCAATCTCAACTGAGACATAAAAGCCTTGAATAAAAACCCCAAAGATCCCAGCTAAATATAGAGAGACTCACCTGGATCCAGCTTTACAAGGGTTCGGAGAGGCCTCTTTGGCTGGTAGTTGATGATGATGCCAGGCACTGTTTGTAGGAACTGAAGGCTGCTCTTGTAACCTTGTTCCAGGCTTAGCCTAAGCAGATTGATCTTATGTTTACTCCACACGAAGGCCTCTAGCTTGTTCATTCGCAGACCCAATGGGTATGGTCTCAGAATACTGCTCAGCATTGAAATGACATCTATACCACCTAGACATAAAACTGAATGACATTGGCAAGGGGGAAAAACAGCTTTAAAGACTACTTGAAATAGATCTTTCTGCCATTCATTACCAAGTCAATGTCTGTGGTGAAGGCAAATTTCTGATTAGTATTTGGAACTGCTTTCACATGTTACAGCACCACACAACCACATCCAACTTGAAGGATCAGAGTTTTGGGTACAGCACATGTGCACATATGGCAAGCAATCTATGTTTGGTGCCTGACATTTCCACATAAAACACATAAGGCAGATCATGGGAAATTGTTCAAAAGCACCTTGGAGAATTATTTCTGCAATTGCAAATGGCCATTGGTTCCCTTATTTTAACCTGGCATAAAACAGCTTCACATTTTCTTTGGCAACCAGAAAGCCAAGGGACAGTTGGGCAGGGGTAGACCTATTAGAAGAGCAAAAGTCATTTTTCTTCAACAGGCTAACATTAAATTATATGGGTCTAGCCAGTTTGGTCTAGTGGTTAGGCACCAGGCTAGAAAGCCAGAAGCCATGAGTTCTAGTCCCACCTTAGCCATGAAAGCCAGCTAGGTAATTTTGGGCCAGACACACACTCTCAGCCCAACTCACTTCACAGGGATGTTCTTGTGGGGAGAACAGGAAGAGGAAGGTGTACTGGATTTGTTGGATATGTTCCTACCTGGAGTTATTTGTAAAAACAATAAAGGCGGCATATTAATAAAACATAAACTATACTTCTTGTTAATCATTGGCATGATGTGACAGGGTGGTTTATCAGCTAGGGTTTATGTTTCAATGTGTTTTGAGAATGCAGCCAGCTGTAATAATTCAGTACACCCTGATTCAACAAACAGAATATGTAACTTCTTTCAAACAGTGATTAGGTTAACATATTGTTCTAAACTATTTATTAGCCATAGTTTATTGGATAAGCTGTAATTTATTTATTTGAAATATTTAGAAAGCCACCCTTCTCATAGCAAGACAGACCCTTTCCTCTTCTATTCAGCTTTTGGACTAGACCTGTCGTATATCTTTAAACATCCCACAAGAGTATGGGGAAAAGGATGGGATATTTAAAATGAAGGTTGGCTGAGAGAAAAGAAAATCCAGGATGTCTTGAACTCAATAGCTCTTCACCTGGTTCTTCTTGGCAATTGAGACTCAACGGACTTACCTGTGAAGGTAGGTGGACCATGACCAATTCCTTCATTTTATCTTTATTCGTTGTGCTGTGCATTTTCTAAAGAAAGTTAGACATTGCCTCACCATCTATTTTTCTAATTCAATTGTCAGCAGAAGTTGCTTTCTCCAGCTGACAAAGCTGTGGGCTGCTGATGAAAACTCTTCCTGGTATACAAACCTGCTGAAATGGATCTCTGTATTTATGGGATGTCTCACTTTCCTTCCTGGAACTTAAACTAGCACGCATTAAATTCCCTCCTTCAGTATTTCCCACTACGACTCACTGGAGTAAGCTGGGCTGAGAATTAGCAGGTGGCTCACCAAGTTTCCAAGGCTGAAGCTGGACTGGAACTGAACCAAGTTTCACCAGTCCTAGCTTAACACCTGCTCTAGCTTGGAGGCAAAGTGGGCTGTGTTACTCCAGACCAGTGTTTCTCAATCTTGGCAGCTTGAAGGTATATGGACTTCAACTCCCAGAATTCCCCTGGAGAGAATTCCCTGGAGGGAGAATTCTGGCAGTTGAAGTCCATATGTCTTCAAGCTGCCAAAGTTGAAAAGCACAGTCCCAAATTCTACAGAAGCAATTCCATTTTTTTCAGGGCTTCCCAAAAATAATATTCCTGCAAAGAAAACTAGAAGATCAGTGAGATTTTTTTCTCTTCTAACTTAAAGAACAAGAATGTTCATAGCTTGTGTCAAAAAGTCAAGATGGAAGCTAACAGAATGTCCTTTAGGTTTTTTTTCTAAAATGTATATTTATTTGTATGCATGTATGTATATGTGTGTTGTGTGTGTGTGTGTGTGTATGAATTTTCTATATGTAGCCCTTTCTTTTGATTGTATGTTTTAGCAAAAAAGATGTTAAAAATGTATCAAGAGATTTTTACATTAGATTTTTTTTCCAGCAAGAAATATTTTATGAATGACCTCACTGAAGTTATATAGTTGGGAAAGCAGTGAAATCAAATGCTTTATTTAAAAACGTTGTTCCATTTTGAAAAGAAGTAAATACAGTACAGGCAATTGCTGAGACTTAATATTTTCAGATGCTTATAATTTTTTGAAGTTTATGTCTATCCTCTGGGAGCTGATTTCTGGACAAAGGAAATGGATTTTCTGTATCTTATTTGTCATCAAAAGATTTAATGTTGAGTATTGGAAAGACAAACATTTGGCTCAAATTATTCACTGATCTGCAGAATTAATATAGATTAGCTATAGATGACTATAGCAAATTATGGCTTTTATTTATTGATATGTCTTTAAATATAAGCTTTGTACATGTTTGTTTCTTTACCTTTTTTCCCTTTTCTTTTAAATTTTTATTTATTAAATTTATATGCCACCCATTTCACCGATAAAGCAACTTTGGGCAGCTTAATTTTGTGCCTTTTTTATTTTAGTTAATAATTTTTTTTAAAAAATGAAAAAGATGATGGTCATAAGGATCAAGCATTGAGGCTGCCATCTTAACCTTTTTGATCACGCCAGAATCCCTGTGAAGGGATATAGTTTATTTTGATTCATTCGTTCATTTGTTCATTATTACTGCAGCTGCCTATCTCAAGCAACTGAGCAGCTTACAATTCTGAAATTTAACAATCAAAGCAAGACTGTAAAGCAATAAAAATATTACCAGTATCCTGCATAAATCCTTGAAGCTCTGAGACACTGATCATTCCTCTTTCCTTGGTTTCTTGACACAACTTACATTTTTCGTCTGAGGAAGAGTTTCTTAGCCATTCATAGTCAGGATTCAGTTGATCAGAGGTAAAGTCAAAGGGATCATACTCTCTCAATTGGGAAGCTTCCTTGGGTCGATATATGGGGGGTGGCTCTGCTGTGGAGCAGCTGTGGCTTGAAATTATACACACATCTATGGGGATTAAATACAGAAATCAGGATTAATGAGAAGGATTGCGCTTTTCAGGCATATACCTAAACCCCTTAGAACCTTGCTCTGCAAATTCCATGCCCCCAAGCCAACAATTTAGAGTCCTATTTTCAACTACCACAAATACTATACATTGTCCAAAATGGCATCCATGGGCAGCAGTGCCTTCCTCAACATTTGCCAGCCTCCCTGCTCCACTTAAATGCAAAAAAGAAAAAGAAAAACCACCGATACTGACCTGAATTCAAAAGTTTTCAAGATTAAAGCAAGAATGTCCCACCTTGGCAACGTCAAGACCTATGGATTTCAACTCCCAGAAACCCGTGGCTGGCTGGGGAATTCTGGGAGTTGAAGTCCACAAGTCTTAAAGTCACCAAGGTTGAGTACACCTGGATTAAAGTATACTTGAATCCAGAAACATTTCTTTTGGGACTAATGGACAGGCAACTAGAAGAAAATCATGGAAGTTTATTTTTGTAGATGACAATTGGATTATTATATGCTGAAAAATGGAAAAAATTGACACACTTCTTCCACAATTTATTTATTTATTTATTTGTTTATTTAATTTATATACCGCCCTACTCCCGAAGGACTCAGGGCGGTGAACAGCCAAACAGTAAAAAAAAATAGATACAAAATTTAAAAACAAAGTAAAATTGAATTAAACAAATTTGGCCCAAACATATTAAAACCCCAATCATTTAAAAAACCAATTAAAATTTGCGTAATTAAAAAGAGGGAAAAGATTAGGCCAGGCCCGCCTGGTGGAATAAAAAGGTCTTGAGAGCGTGGCGAAGGTGTGCAGATCCAGGGTCCTCCGTATCTCCGGGTGGAGCTCGTTCCAGATAGTAGGTGCCCCCACAGAGAAGGCTCTCCCCCTAGGGGCCGCCAGTCAACATTGTTTGGCCGACGGCACCCGGAGGAGCCCCTCTCTATGAGAGCGTACCGGCCAGTTGGAGGCTATTGCTGGTAGTAGGCGCTCCCGTAGATAACCAGGTCCTAAGCCATGGAGCGCTCTAAAGGTGGTAACCAAAACCTTGAAGCGCACCCGGAAGACCACCAGGAGCCAGTGCAGCTCGCACAGGAGAGGTGTTACATGGGAACGCCATGTCGCTCCCATTACCACCTACGCGGCCGCACTCTGTGCCAGTTGGAGCCTCCGGGTGCTCTTCAAGGGGAGCCCCATGTAAAGAGCGTTACAATAGTCCAGGCGGACTATTGAAGGAATGATTGTTGAATATAATGGAAGATGCAGATATGCCTAACTTAATTTCTTTGATCAGAAAAAAAATACATTAACTAGGTTTATGGATGCCTGGAAACTCCTTATAGATTTTTTTTTTGTGCATGAAATGGGGAAAGAATGCATTTATTAGTGGTTCTGATGATTAGAAAAAAAACATTAAATGTAAACAAGTTAATTTTAGTAATCTCAGAGTAAGATAATTTTATAATGTACTTATATTTGCTGCAAGGGAAATTGGAAGCTTCTTCTATTCCTTTTTATTCTTTCTTTCTACATTTTTTCTTCTTTCTTTCCCTGCTTCTTTTACTCTTTATTAGTTTGTGTTAGCTTTTATGTTCTTAGTAAAACTTTTAATATTTTAAAATTTTAAAAAGCATCTTTTTATTAACAAATAATGACAAGCAGGCAGGATGTCAGTTTCTCACTTTTTGTTTAACTCCCAAAAATGCTCCTGAGCCCTGGAGATATTTGTTGAAAATAAAAATGCCAGGTAATTAACATTTGTATGCTGTTTGGAATTTGTGCCCACCTACTGAGGGAAGGGGGAGTGCAAGGAAACACGATGTGGGGGGGGCGGGAGGCAGGCAGGAAAGCACCATGCCCATCTCACTTTTAATAAAATGTTTATTTGGGGATTGGTAGCCCTTTTAGGAATGGGTTAAACTCTTTCATCAGCACCATTCAACTCGCTATCATCCTCAGCATATTTCCTAATTCCCTCATGGGTCTGTCTACCTCTACCTCGATTCATTGGAACTCACCACCCACCTCTAAACAAACATTTGCAGTTACATCTTTTGCTCCAACCTTGATCACTCCAAGCTCTGTTTTGCAGAAAACCTAGATATCCTAGTTAATGTCCTCTCCTGCATGTGCCTCCTCTCTTCCTCGGAGTAAACAAAGCTATTGGCTGCTCACTCTGGTGTGCAAAGCACTAGGCGGTACTTCCACCCTAGAGAACCTCTCAGCTCAGAAATTCCCAAAACAAACGTTGAGTTGCATGTTTGATTTTATCCCAAGAACCTAATTTGCCCAACTTAATTCCCTAGTCTTCCCACAGCATGGCTCTGTGAGTATAAATGCGACACCTGAAATTAAACTGTGTGCGGCTAACATTAGATTTTTATCTTGCCTTTATTACTTTGCATGCTTATATGGTGATGAACATACATCTTTTTCCTTCCTCCTCCTATTTATCCCACAACAATACTCCTATGGGGTGGCCTGAGTGATGGCAACTGGCCCAGAGGCACAGCCATCTTTCCTGCCTGAGGTAGGATTAGAATTCACTGTCCCCTCGTTTCTAGGCCAGCATCTTAACCACTAAACCAAACTGGCTAATGCAAACTAATACACATAGTAGCAGGCAAGAGTTCTTGCTTTCCACCTCCTCACTAGAGCCGATTCTTTTCTTTTCTCTTTTAAACTAAGCTTTCCATGATATTCTCTCCTCACCAATGCTGGAAGAGTTGTATTTTCTGCTCTGTAATGATAGAGAAGCCTCCTTCTCCATGGAGGGAACCAACAAATTTATCCGGGGTCTCTTGAAAACAAGCTGGTTTTCTTCCCAGGTTTCTGCTGGGTACTTGCATGATAGCCTTCCTTGGCTGGAGGTAATCATCATTCCCTCTCGTGGTTTCTGCATGGTAGCGTTCATGTGAGGCCCTTCCTTCGACACTTCCCCCCCCTATTTTCTGCCCCCCCCAATTTACTTTCCAGAAAATGCAGGGACCTTAAGAAGTTAGTTTCCAAGTTGTGCAAACAGGGACATTTCCTCTGGGGAGACCCCAAAAGAAACAAAATCTATCAGTCAAACTACAGAAAGGAACAAAGTAAAAAAAAAAAAAGGAAGAGTGGAAAGAGCCCCTGATTACCCTTTTATAAATTTACATGCATGCAGGTGTGGTGTATGGGTGGAGCTTAAAATAAAGCAAATCGTTTCTCCATTGGATTTTTCTCTTAATGTTTACATTCCCACCCCTGCCTCATTTGGTAGCATGGCTCTATATTGCAATGGAGTTTGTTTGAATTCAGCTTAAGGCATGCTATGAAGTTAGCCATTGATATTAATCAACCGTGTTTTATTTTATTTATTTATTTATTTTATTTTATTTTATTTGTATACCGCCCTACTCCCGAAGGACTCAGGGAGTCCTTCTCCATTCTTTAATCTCATTCTCCATTAAACAGCCACAAGGAATAGTTTACAAGCCCCTCAGGATATACTATGCCGAAGCCCAACAAATCTCTTTCTGATTTAGTATTCCATGGTACCAGGCAATTATGAATTTTTCAACAAACTATAGTTAAAGAAAATTATTATTTGTTCTAGTATATGAATCCAATTCACAAAACCTATTTGCACAGGAAATGCAATGCTCAAAAGATTGCTTTGTTTTATCTTGGATTCCAGACATTTGGGTCTATATTCTCTTCATAAAAACTTGAATTACTACTACATGTTTCCCCCCAACTGCCTGTCCACTGTCATCTTGACCCCCCAACCTCAGTTTAGGAATTAGGTGTGAATGCTAAGTAAGTTTGCTCAGTACTGAAGTGCTACTGTTTTCTCTTTTTCATAAAATGTGGATTACAAAGGAGGAGATACAGATCTTTCCAGGCAATGTTTATTAAAAAGCAGAATCATTTTTTATTAGGTTTATAAAGATCTTTCATTCAGCACCTCAAGGTGATATATCCAGTCCTCCTATTTTTTCCCACACAACAACAGTCTAGTGAGGTAGGCTGGGCCAGGAGAGTGTATCTGTGACTTTCCATACTTAAGGGTGAATTAGAATGTGGCTCTCCCAGTGTTTCTCAACATTGGGAACTTGTGGACTTCAACTCCCAGAATTCCCCAATCATAAGGTGTCCAACATTTTTACAATGAGAAGAAGGACACAAATAAATTGGAGGAAATAAAAGAAACATTTTATTCACTGCAACAATAATACAGAATACACTATAATATGATAAATGCATAATAAAAAACATTTGTAACGATAACATTTTATATTGTAACTATGCTTACATGCCTATTAATTATTATTTAAATGAGTACTTTTCAATTGAATAAATTTTTTTTGTCAATGTATTATCTTCTAACAATATATTGGAAATATCTGAACAAGAAATATCCTTCATATTGAATTTTACGGCAAGTGCTGCAGCTAGAATATCAACATTCAGTCTCAATTTCTCACTTTTCCAAAAATCATTAGCAATTGAAAAAAACCCTTTCAGCTGCTGCATTAGTTCCAAGGCAGCACAACGTAAATTGAACAAGAATAAATAAATTTTCACATGGAATATGTTCATTTTTGAAATGGCTGAATATTTTCCACCCATCTTTTATCAATTTCAACGTGTTTATTTTCCCATTGTATTAATTTTTCAGAATGTAAAAATACATTCAGTCTTCTAATTTCGTCAAAGAGACAATTGTCGTCTATTTTAATGTCTGGCATTTCTTTAGATAAAAACTCAACACAAGATTCAATATCTGTCCAATATACTTGCGATGAAGTCAAAAAACACAATTGAAAACTGTTACTTCCTATGATGTTTGTTTGACCATTCTTCAATATATTGAAAACATGTTTGTTAAAAATTCTGCCCTTCTTTGATAAACTTTTCCGTTATGCTCTGATTTGATTCCTCTAAGTATGACAATTTTCTTTTTATAACTAAAGGAAGAAATTTTTCTTCAAATCAAGTTTTATATTGAAGGATAAAGACATTCAAAATAAGACTAACTTCTGTAGCTGATATGTGTTCACCTTCAATCTTTTGAATCGTTTTGTGAAAAAATAGATGCTTGATTGTGTACAAAATACATTAATGTCTCAGATATTTTATTATTGAAAAACGATTCCAGGATTTTAGGACATTTGTCTAAACTTAAAAAATATGAACGGAGAGGCTCAAATAATTGTAGAACACGCTCGATAGCAGGTGTTAGAGCAAGCCACTTTTGAATATCCTAAAAGTTTTTTGTATTGTCATTCACTTCTTCACAAAATTGTTTTAAAGTAGGCACACGAACGGTAAAATGTTAAAATACAAATAAATTGTAGTTATTATTACTTCTACATCAATGGCATGGCACATGATGCCGTGTTGATTGCATTTGACAAAATATGTGCATTACAACCTATTCTTAGTATTTTCTTTTGGAATAAATCTTGTAATTTTACATACACATTATTCACCCCTTTGCATCTTCACCCACCAAAATTTGTGTTTGTATTATCAGCTGTTAGTGCAACAAGTTTGGATTTCAAATTGTTTTCATTTATTAGTCTGTATAGATGGTTTGACAAAATTTCAGCAGTTTCGCCCTCAATGGATTCTAAATTTAAAATTTTTACTTGAATGCCCTTGGTAACATTAAAATATCTTACTAGTATTGGATACAATTTAGTTTCATTATGATTGGATGCATCAGATAAAACCGTTACAAATGCTGCAGTTTCCAAGTCTTCTGTAAGTATTTTGTCACAGTAATTTTTAAATACTGATTTAATAATAGCCTCGTATTTTGTCCTGGTACATGAAAATTTAGCATATGAAACTTTTTCAATTAATTAGTTGTACAATCCATACTACGAAAACTTTGATTGTGAATTATGGTATGAAATGCAAATGTTCCCTCCATTGCAGCTAACTGTTTTTCATCTTCAGAATAATTTGAAGTTTTAAAAAAACTTGTTACTTTACAACTGGAAGCAGATGCATCTGATGATTGCTTATGTTCCTTGGTGGTCAAATGTTTCGTAATAGCTGCTCTGCCCCCAACTACAATACAAAATTCTCCGCTGCAAATACTGCAGAAAACAATGTTATCCTTCTTTGATATGAGGAATGGAAATTCCTTATTCAATTTATCGTTGTAATGGCATTTCCTCTTTTTGATTTTTCCTTCCCTAAATGAAATTTAAAATTAAAAATAAAATAGACTTACACGAACAATGTAAGCACATTCATTATGAATAAATACAATTAATTATTAAAACTGAAACAATAACATAAGCAAATAAACTTGTAAATAAAATTATACATATTTGGAAATTATTAAATAGATAATGAATTAATAAAACGTGAATTATTGTGCTCACCTGTGTATAATTGAATATTCACTGAGAAAGAAGTGAGTCTAATGCATGCGTGCCATGTCGTGTTTCGGTAAGAAGTAAACAAAGCCACTTGTGCGCAGCGCACTCTTGCGCGCAGCGCATTCTCTCAAAACAATTTTCCTGTGCAGAGCGCAAGCATCTCATAATCGTGTCTTGCCACACTGTACCGAGCCTTGACGAATCATCATGTCAAATACAAATATGTCACATCACATGCAATGGATCGGATCGGCATCGATCCAATACGGAGATTTACAGATTAGTTTTCGAATATCGAAAAGGAGGACATATAGGAGGACTCTTCGAGAGAGGACAGAACTTACAAAAGAAGGACTGTCCTCCCTAAAAGAGGACGATTGCTCACCTTACGAATCAGCATCGTGACTGGGGAATTCTGACAGTTGAAGTCCACACATCTTAAAATTGTCAAGGTTGAGTAACCACTACATGCTAATCATGACCCACTATGATGTTAAAGTTGGATATAAGCACTATGCCAAAATGTGTGAGAGTTGTAACCAGGAGTGAAATCTAAAATTTTTTGCTACCGGTTCTGTGGGCATGGCTTAATTAGTGGGCGGGGCTTGGTGGTAAAGTGACTGGGTGGGCGTGGCCAAGTCAATGTCACTTCTTTGCCCTTTTTTAATCTACAAAACACAACACAACACAACTGGCTCACCCACAATGTAAAAGCAGCTGTGCTAGACCCAAAATGGCCCCTGCAACAAGCAGGAACCTCACACAGCCACAAAAAGCCCAAAAAACCAACTTTCATACTTTACACACACAAAATTCCACATACAGCTTTGTGAGATTTTGTGTGTTTGTGTAGTTAGAGTGAAATACTACAGAAATACACTAAATTTCAGAAAACTGCACAAATATTATTTTATTTTAATTTATTTTTATTTTTATATAAAAGCAGCTAAATTTAAAACTTCCTAAACTTTAAATGGCTAGGTCTAAAAAAAGAACAACTAAAAAAAACCCCAATTAACTTTTTTTTTTAAAGCTCCCAAAGGGGAAAAAAAACTTACCCAATAGAACAGGGGTCTCCAACTTTGGCAACTTTAAGACTTGTGGACTTCAACTCCCAGAATTCCTCAGCCAGCTTTGCTGGGAGTTGAAGTTCACAAGTCTAGGCAGGCAGGCAGGCAGAAAGAGCTGCTCACCAATGAGCTTGATTGCAGGCAGGGAGATTCAGTTGCTTGCTGATGCATGGATTACGATCGTCATGGATCAGCAGCTAAGGTAAGCAAGCTGGAGGCTGGGAGGGGAGGGGAGAAAAAAAGAAAGTTTTTTTCTTTTACATGGCTCTGGCGATCCAAGCTGAGTTGCCTGATTAGCAGGTAACTCAGCTGGGATGTCAGAACTTGGCTAGTCAGAGCCATTTAAAAGGAAAAAAAGGCTCTGATGATCGCGGGGCTCAGCTGGGCATGGGGGGCAGGGGCAGGAATTTTGGCTACTGGTTCTCCGAACTGCCCGCCACCATCACTACCTACTCGCCCGAGCCGGTCCGAACCGGGAGCATTTCACCTCTGCTTGTAACCTACATTTACCACATCAAATAGAAGTTTATGGATGTGTGTCGTCAAGGGGAGGACATATTTTGGATGTGGGTTACTTCTTGGAAGGAAAAACCAGTTGCCAGATGGGAAGAAGCAGGGTGAATATAGGCAGATTTTAGAGTATCTGGTTTAGTCACCTTCAACTTGCATGACACAGTCATGAGTCTAAGCCAATGATGGCTAACCTTTTTGCCGTCATGTGCCAAAAGCAGGGGGAGCGCAAAGAGGTCATGCGTATGCATGCCCATACCTACAGTTGAATGCACCCCACCCCTCCGCGCTTGCATATGCGACCCCCCTCCCGTGCTCCCCCTGTTTTTGGCATGTGATAGACCCGTGGGCCTGGTAGGCCTGTTTTTCGCCCTCCCCAGGCTCCAGAGGCTTTCTAGGAGTGAAAACTGCCTTCTCCACCCCCCTGGAGGCTGGAAACGGCCCATTTGTCAATTTCTGGTGTGCCTGGAAGCCCCGAAAATCAGTTGGCCTGCGTGCTCAAGTGCGCTGCAGCTGAGCTAGGGCAATGCTCGCGTGCCCAACGATATGGCTCTGTGTGCCACCTGTGGCACACGTGCCATAGGTTCGCCATCATGGGTCTAAACGCTCCATCCTTGTGACTGTCACTTGGGCTATTTCTTATACAGGTTTAGTACTCTTCAGAATGAGCACTAAATCTAGGTTCTGAGGTAGCCCAGCCGAAAGATTAGAAAAAAACCCCAAAACAGAACCCACAGAAGAAATCCTGCTGCTTCATTCTATGTCCTTCCTTTCCTAGGAAGGTTCCTATCAACCTTTCTTAGGAATTTCTAGGCTTCTTATTATGCTTTTTTGAGGCTGATGCTATTGTGTGGCCCAGTTTGCTAGACTTTCTCCTCCACGGTCAGTCCAATCTACTTCCTCCCATGGTTTTTCTCTGCAGTCACATCATTTTTGAGGACTTATTGGTAGTGACAGGAAGTTAATCTTGGCATATACCAGTAGCACAGGTGGGTAACTATGGCAACTTTACGGCCTGTGGACATCAACTCCCAGAATTCCTGAGCTGGCATGGCTGCTCAGGAATTCTGGGAGTTGAAGTCCATAAGTTGCAAAGTTGCCATGGTTGCCTACCCCTGCCATACGGGATAATGAAGTGCCTAATAAACACCACACCCATCCATCAGCTTCAAAATAAAATATCAAGGTCCCCCCAGCAGAGGGAACGTGGGCATCCCAAAGTAGGTAAAAACAACTTCAAGCATCTGAAACAGAGTTCTTTCAGGTTTTTTTATTTCCAAACTTGGTAACTTTAAGAAGTATGGATGCTCCAGAGCTGTGCAAGGCTGAGGTAGGAAGCAGGAAGACAGAAGACTTTATCTTAGATCCAGCCATCCAAATTACTCAATTTTTCTCTCTTCCACCTCCCCCATTTCAAACTTCCAACTTTTTATTTCCACAAAACATTCCTAATCATCTCTAAAGTGAGGAAGGGGGTCTTGAGATCAAGCATTGCTTGAGATTTTGCAGATGCAGCCAGTAAGAGAATTTCTAATCTGTATTTCAGGGTGAATTCTTAGATACAATTGGTTATATGCAAAGCTCAGTACCAGTAGTCCTTCACTTACGACCAATTGCTTGGAGCATGCTTGAAGTTGCAACAGACCCAAAAAAGGTACTTAGGACCCAGATTCAAATTCACTTCCTTCCTCACGATCACATGATGATATTTTGAGTGGTAGCAGCCCAGTGACATGACCTTGATATGTATGCTGGAAACCAACATCCTGCCCAGGCAGGAAACCAGGGTTTTCTGCCTGGGCAGGAGGTTGGACTAGAAGACGTCCCAGGTCCCTTCCAACTCTGTTATTCTGAAATGTATTTTTTAGTTTCTGGCAAAAAAGAATGGTTTTTGTTTTAGTGAACAATGGTTTTGTTTAACAACTATGGCGTTTGCTTAATGACCACCCCTGAAAAGCTCATAAAATCAAGTACGGTCACATGATGACTCACTTAATGATGGGCACAACTTACGACCATAATTCTGGGCTCAATTACGGTCATAAGTCAAAAACTATCTGTAGCTTCTTTTGTCCAAATTATTTTTACAGCACATCATGGCAAAACCAAATAATATATGTCCAAAAATATGAAAAGTGGGTTTATGAGACTTATGATTGTTTTGTTTACACCAGATTGTACCATGAGGAAAGCAAGCAATCCCAATATTTGTAGAGTGGCAGCCGGTACTATTAGGTACGTGCATTTATGAAAAGTCTAGAGAATGTGTATCATGGCACAGATGTTCTTTAGGGATGAGTATAGAGAGGAGAGTACAACCAAAGAGGAAAAAAACACCATAAACAGGAAGAATAGGAAGATTTATTTTTAGGCACCTTTGAGTTATACAAAAATGTAAGTTGACTATTGGATTCCAAAGATGACTCATTTATTTGTAGCTTAAAACCTCCTGTCTAGATTTCTAAATATAGATCTAGGAGGGCCTAAAAACTTTTATTTTCCATCCCTTATACACAGAAACCATGTTCCTTTCCTTATTAAAGTAGGCTCTCTCACACCTGCCTCCACCAAATGTTTTGCACTGCAATCTTCATTATCTCTGGTGGCTTCTGGGGATTGTAATATTCCATATTTAAAGAACACCAAGTCAGGTAGAAGTGTGCTTACTTAGAAGCCACAATGAAAGAATCTAGGAAATTTTTCTCTGTTTTGGATGACAAACAAAATGATTTTTATATCTACGTGTATATACCATGGATAAACCTAACACGTTTCAAGAAAATAATCTCATTTCTCACAAAATCTATATCAAAAATTAATCCCAACCCCAATAAGATCCATCAACAATTAACTGATTCAACCTGAACTTTTAACCCTTCATCTTAAATTTGTGCTGCCTCGACTCATCAGGGTTGACTTCCCATCTTGTTGATGTACTTCACCACATCCCTGTCCTTGTACAGCTTCATAAAAGGATACATGAATTATATTTAGATGTATCTTCATCTGTATCTTCGTCACACCCATTTCCAGAATCAAATTCCTCCTCCATTCTTCCCAGCACTTTTTCTTCTGAATTTAAGGCAGAAGTATTAGATGATCCAGTACTGGTACATATTTCGGTTCTGGAAGACAGCAGTAACTCCTCTTCTTGGCTTACATCATGAAATACAGAGAGGACCATTTCCTTCACCCCTGAAGAACTTGGAAGAGGATAACTCGGGCTTAGTATTTTGGTGTCTGGTATATCATTACGATTTGAGAAGACAAAATCTTGACTAGGTGGGGATCCTGTTATGTATTCTGGGAATTCATTAATAAAAAATGAAGAAACTGAACCAAACATTTCTAATTCCTTCTTGGATGAGCCTTTCTTCTGGCCTACTCTGGATGAAAAATCTAGAATAGTGGGAGAAGATGGGATGGGCCGCTTAGGACGGGGATACTCAACTGGAATTATTCCATGCTTTGACAGATTGCTTGGCAACATCTCCATCTGAACATTTGACTCTGGGAATTTGAGGCCTAGGCTTGAAATGTGTCTTTTGCAATGGGGGACTTCAGAGGTAACAATCTCATCAGAAACAAATTCTGGAGTAGACAGATCAAGCTCATCAGGAGGAAGGAGTGCCTTCATATCACTACTTGGTGAGAGGGGAGCCAAAGAAGGTATCTCTCCTCCATGTTGCTTCTTCAGAACCTGGTAAGTTGAGAGCAAGGCAGAGCTATTGTTGAAGGTCTTAAAGCTACTTTGAGTAGGTATTCTAGAAATCTCTTTTGTCTTCAAAGGAAGGTTGATAGAGGTCAAAATCTCTTTTCCAAGAACAGATGGTGGAAGCCCTTGATTGAGGAGAAACAAAGTTTTATTACTTGTTCATTCTGCCAATTCAGCATTTCAGAATGTACAGGTAGTCCTCGATTTACAACAGTTTATTAAGTGACCTTCAAAGTTAAAATGGAACTGAAAAAAGGTGACTTATGACCGTTTTTCACACTTAACAATTGTTGCAGCATCCCCATGATCACATGATCAAAATTCAGATGCTTGGCAACTGGTTCATATTTATGACGGTTGCAGTGTCCTAGGGTCATGTGATCAACTTTTGCTACCTTCTCACAAGCAAAATCAATAGGAAATCCAGATTCCCTTAACAGCCATGTTACTTACTTAACAAAAGCAGTGATTCACTTAACAACTGTGGCAAGAAAAATCGTAAAATGGAGCAAACTCACTTAACAAATGTTTCACTTAGCAACATAAATTTTGTAAACATACGCTTGAGTGTTGGATTACAGCTTCCATCATTGCTAGCTACATAGACAGATTGGGTAGGAATGAGGAGAGTTGTAGACTAACACATGGGTCTACAAGCAGTGAATGCCCAAAAGTTATTCTTTCTTTCTGTTGATGCTTCCTAAATTGATTGAAATAAAGCTCATATCAATATTCAAAGAGCCAATTTGGGCTAGTGGTTAAGGAATGAGGCTAGAAAGTGAGATACTATGAGTTCTAGTTCTGCCTTAGAGTCAACTGGATGACTTTGGGTCAGTCCCCCTCTATCAGCCTAACTCACCTCACAGAGTTGATGTTGTGGGGAAAACATGAAGAGGAAGTACGTTGGATATGTTTGCTACCTTGAGTTATTTGTAAAAATAATAAATGCAGGATAAATTTAAATGATTAAAAATGAATAAGCAGGGATGAATAGCTCTCTGGTTTTATTCTCTGAAGCCCTCAAAGGTTAAAGAATTCATGACAGAAGAATTCATGGTTTAAAGAAGCAAGAATTGGAGTGGTAAACATGAAAAGAGGGGCTTCAGGAGTTGTCCACCCTTGAAACAAAGGATGCAACCTACCACCATTTCCATGCTTGATAAGTGTGGCTTGTTTCATGGGTAAGTCTGGAGATCCTGGAGATGGATTTTGACGCTTCTGGACCTTCTCTGACTTTTCTCCTTGGCCACCCTTAACTCTTATCTGATATCCTGGAGAATGACCAGGGTTAGGAAGCCTGCTGATGGGGCAAGGAATTCGACTCGCAGGGAGACAGGCCCCAGCAGAGAGTGTCAGCCTGGGTCGTTCCTTGACAACAGGTGTTGATGAGCAGATTGGAATGTGAGTTGTTGCTACTTCCTGAGGTGACCTTTTAAGTCTCAGCTGGAGAGAAGGATTGTTGGAGCTGTGAGCTGCTTTCCAGGGCTGTGGGAGACCTAGAGAGAATAGAAGGCTGTTCATTATATTTCATTCAGGCAAAGAATAGTGTCAAAAAGACCAAATGTGCAACGTATTTAGCCAAAACGTTCTGTCAATCAACAAGTATTTGGCAGCACCTTATGCCTGTAAAGGTAAAGGTTCCCCTCGCACATATGTGCTAGTCCTTCCCGACTCTAGGGGGCGGTGCTCATCTCCATTTCAAAGCCAAAGAGCTCCAGCGCTGTCAGAAGACGTCTCTGTGGTCATGTGGCCGGCATGACTAAACACCAAAGGTGCACTGAACGCTGTTACCTTCCCACCAAGGTGGTCCCTATTTTTCTACTTGCATTTTTTACATGCTTTTGAACTGCTAGGTTGGCAGAAGCTGGGACAAGTAATGGGAGCTCACTCCGTTACGCAGCACTAGGGATTTGAACCACTGAATTGCCGACCTTTCTGATCGACAAGCTCGGCATCTTAGCCACTGAGCCACCACATCCCTTATGTTTTTAGTGCCCAGTAAACTATCTTTGTGCTGGCTGGGGAATTCTGGGAGTTGAAGTCCATTCATCTTCCAGTTGAGAAACACTAATTTGGACTTTTGGCTTTGCACAAAGCAGCCCTTGTCAGCAATGACATATGTTGGTTAAAAGACCTAGTTTCTAGATGGCTACTCGGATTTGGAAGACACTGGTTAAAAGGCTGACTTGCAATGGAAGATGCAACCTGTTCATTAAGCTTTAACCTAAAATGGGTTAATACAGCCAGTCTCCTTCTTCTCTTTCAGGCAGTTTGTAGATGGAAAGTTCATGAAGGGGGGTGAATTTGGAAATATGCTGAGATCAAGTTTGTTTATTTTTATTTATTTTATTTATTTTATTATCAATTTTCTATACCGCCCTTCTCCCTGAGGACTCAGGGCGGTGTACAGCCAGAATTAAAAAACATGCAATACAAACATTAAAAAAACAATTAAAAGATATATAAATTTGGCCCAATTAAAACTCACTACCAATTAAAACATTTAAAAATTTCTTCTTAAGCCAGCCCGGCTTGCTTGAAAAAATGGGTTTTAAGGGCCCTTACCTCTGGGGGCAACTGATTCCTGAGGGTAGGTGCCCCCACAGAGAAGGCCTTTCCCCTGGGGGTCACCAGCCTGCACTGTTTGGCTGATGGCACCCCGAGGAGGCCCTCTCTGTAGGAGCGCACGGGTCGATGTTTGTTGACAAAGTAAAGGCAAAACCAGGTGATCTAATTTAAAGAACTAATGTTGGGGCACTTTAGATCATGAGTGGAGAAGAAACAAGGAATTTATCTCTTCCCTCCCCATCTGTGATCTGTATCCCCCTTCTCCCTACCCTATTTCCCAGCAATTCTAGAGGGCTACTAAAAATAAAAGTTCCCTCAAGTTAAATTCTCAGTTCTTGATTACTATCTCCAATTTTCCAGCAGGGGGAGCTCTCAGCCTATACAGTAAGGCATTAATTCAAGCTTGGAAAAAATAATACCACCTTTTTGCCTTACCACCACCAGCAATATTACAGGTATTTATCATATTTATGTCCTGACACATTACAAGGCAGCTTGCAACAAATTAAAAATAGCACGCATTTTAAAAAATGAAACTTCAGCAGAAAATCTAATTTAAGAAGACAGGAGCTCATTTAAGGGAAAAAAATGGCCAATTCAGTGCCAGATGAAACATTACCCTGTCTCTCTAATCCACCCTTCTCATACTGCAGCTAGTTAGAAAGATAAAGTGGGAGGGGAGGAGAAAGGTGTTTAAAGTCATACTGAGTTTCACTCTACTGCTAAACGCACCGAAGAGCAATTCTGGATTCAGCTAATGTCTGAAGATTGAAGAATGCAAGAGAAACAAGCAACAGCACAATGCAAGAGGCAGAGTGACAAAATCTGCATTGCAACTTTGCAGTGTAAACTCATGTATACCAGCAGGTGACCTCATGGCATAAGGATGAAAAGGCACATTTTGCATTGCAAAATTACAGTTCATTGTTTTGACATCATAATAGGGTGAATAAAAATCAATGATTTTTTTAACAAAATCAAAAAAATCAGATTTTTTAAATTTAAATCGGATTTTTTTAATTTAAATCGGATATTTTTTATTTTTATCGAATTTATTTTAATAAATTTTTGGGGTAAAAATCTATCGTAAGATAGTTTTCTATTTAAGATACATAAATAATTTAGTTTATTCAACATGAAATGGAGCTTAGTTATGTAGCATGAGGCTGTATATTCTGCAACACTGGGACTATCGGTAAGTCAACAGTGGGTCAAAGGAGTAGCAGAGAAGACAGTTGCTCTTTAAAAATTATGATTTAAATCAAGCCTTTTTACTAGTGATTTAAATCATGATTTAAATTGTGATTTAAATCAACTCGATTTAAATCAAATCCACCCTGCATCATAATGAGGAACAGACACTCAATGGCAAGAACAGAAGAGCAATACATCTCTGGCAAATTCATGTAGGAATTCAGGCTGCCTTCTGAATAGGGTAAAGATAACCCAAAACATTTAAGGCCTTTTAAGCCATGGCTTTACACTTTCTATTATGTCTTGGTTTCTTTAATTACCATTGCTTTGAATACCACAGTTGACTTGCTTTACACAAGGCGCTAAGCCATGAACCTCAGTGGCTGAATTTGTGCAGAATGCCAAAGCAGGAGATATTAGGAGCTGTGGTGGTACAGGGGTTAGAAGGCAGTATTGCAGGCTGAACTCTGCCGACTGCCAACAGTTCAATCCTGACTGGCTCAAGGTTGACTCAGCCTTCCGTCCTTCCGTGGTTGGTAAAATGAGGACCCAGATTGTTGGGGACAATATGCCGACATTGTAAATTGCTCAGAATGTACTGTAAAGAACCATGGAGCTGCCTAAATGCTATTGTTATTATGGTTGAAGATGATGTATGAATCCCATTTGTGAATTTTTTTTATTATTATTTATTTATATGCCGCCCTTCTCCGGAGACTCAGGGCGGCTTACAATGCGTTAAGCAATAGCCTTCATATTTTTGTATATATTTATACAAAGTCAGCTTATTGCCCCCACAATCTGGGTCCTCATTTTACCTACCTTTGAAAGGATGGAAGGCTGAGTCAACCTCGAGCCTGGTGAGA